GAGATCATGTCTTTTGCAGGAATATGGTTGGAGCTGGAGCCCATTATCTTTAGCAAACTAACACAGGAACAGAAAACCAAATATCTCATGTTCTCACTTAGAAGTTGGAACTAAATGGTGAGAACTTATGAACACAAAGAAGGAAACAACAGACACTGGGGTCTACTTGAGGGTGGAGAGGGTGGGAGGAGGGAGAGGAGCAGAAAAAAGAACTATTGGGTACTAGGCTTAGTATTCAGTGGTGAAATAATCAGTACAACAAATCCCCTTGACACGAGTTTACTTATGTGACAAATCTGCACATGTGCCTCCGAACCTGAAATAAAAGTTAAAAAAATTTTTTTTAAATTGAAGTGCTTTGTAAATTGTGAAGCACACTCACAAAGGCCCTCTACCAGTTTAACCCCTTCTCCAGGGTGACTGTCTCTGTTTCTAGGGGTGGAAAAGGAAGGGGAGAGAGGAATCCACTGGCGTCTGCCAGCTGCAGCTTCCCTGTGCAGTCATCTGTGGGGCACCTCCTCACCCTCCCTCAGACCCGGGCACCCAGCCCATCATGGGCTCTGATTCTACAGGCAAAGAAACCGTCACCTGCTCAGGGGCACAATGGAAATTCATGGCAGGGCCAGAATCAGCACCCAAGTCTCTCTGGCTCTTAGAAAGGTCTGACCGCATCTGTAAAATTAGAGAATAAAAGGAGGTTCTGGAGGTTCTCCACCCCGACCCAGTGAGTACTGGCCTGCCCCGTGCGGATGGCAGGTGTGTCCTCACTTCTCTGTTCAGGTGTCCCTCCCCTGTGGGCACAGCCCTGGTTCCTTCCAGACAGGAAGGTGCTCATCCACTCTGCTCAGCCTCCCTGTCTCTCCCTGTCCCCTCCCCTGGGCTGAGGAACAAGCTGCCGCATCGGAGCTGCCTCCCTCTCCTCAGCACCCTCACCCACTTGCCCTCTGACTAATGGCTCACAGGAATCGAATGAGGGGCTGAACCTACAAATAGCTCCCTAGGCCCAGAGCCCAGGTCGCATTCAGCCCCAGGGTCCAGGCAGAGGAGCTGGCTGGGGTATTCCTGGCCCCGTGAATGGGCTTCGTGCTGCTGTGGTGCTTCTGCCTCCTCTCTCCCATCCAGTGGCTACCTTAAACAAGCCTGCTCTAAGTGCGCCTGACCATGCGAGGTCCTCTGGGGGAGGCCCAGGCCCTCCAAGATGGGTGTGAGTTCCCTACCCTCTCCTCAAGGTTGGGGCGTGGGCAGAGCTGCCAAGAGTTCCAGCCACTCAGGCTGGCACAACTCAAGGGACTTTACTCCGAGTGACTGCCTTATTGATCCCAAATTCTCTCAATGGTTCCCAGCTGCTTTGGACTGGCCTCAGGGCACCACAAAACAGGCTGATGTCCAGCTGGTCATTGGGCACTTTCTCCTTTGACCACCACAGTTACCCTAGCTGCATTTACCTTCCTGTTCCCCTCACACTTACACTCTCCTGCCTATGCGTCTTCCTCCTTCCCAGCTGACCCATCTCAGCATGTGGGTTCAGGCATTCATCCATTTGTCTATGTAGTGATCATTTTTTAATTCATTCACTCTATCAGGCAATAAATAGAAACTGGAAAACCAACTATGTTCCAGATATTGCAGCAGGCAAGCACTTATGAAGCACCCAGGCTCTGGAGTCTGACAGTTGCATTCAAAATCTGGCTCTGCCAGTTCTTTGTGAATGATTTATTTAATGTCTTTAAGCCTCAATTTCCTCAACTGTGATGTAAGAACAATAACAGTAACTAACTATAGGGATGTTGTAAGACCAAGTGGGGTCATGCATATAAATACCTCAAAATAGTATCCGGTATTAAAAGCTACTGCTGGTTGTATTAGTCGTTCTGCTACTATTAGCCACTGTCATTATTAAGCTCTGGGAACGCTGTTTTTTTTTGTTTTTTTTTTTTTGAGACGGAGTCCCACTCTGTCGTCGCCCAGGCTGGAGTGCAGTGGCTGGATCTCAGCTCACTGCAAGCTCCGCCTCCCGGGTTCACGCCATTCTCCTGCCTCAGCCTCCCGAGTAGCTGGGACTACAGGTACTCGCCACCTCACCCGGCTAGTTTTTTGTATTTTTTAGTAGAGACGGGGTTTCACCGTGTTAGCCAGGATGGTCTCCATCTCCTGACCTCGTGATCCGCCCGTCTCGGCCTCCCAAAGTGCTGGGATTACAGGCTTGAGCCACCGCGCCCGGCCTGGGAACGCTGTTAATAACACACAGTCCATGCCCTCCAGGGTGATTGGGGGAAAGAGAGATAAGTATTTATAATGTTCAGGCATGAGCTGGCTAATAGGAAATGCAGAAGCAGCAGCCCCTGGTTAGAATCCTGGTGCAGCAGAGGAAGGGTGTCAGGAAGACTTCCTGAAGGGGGGATGCTTGAGCCTGGGTGCTGGAGAAAATAGACAAGTGAGAGGAGGACATTTCAGAAAGAGAGAAGCTGATACATGCAAGAGAGAGGGAGGTGCGGGAGAGCAGGGGTCAGCCTGCTTGGCCTCCAGGTGGGCAGGAGAAGACCCTCCAGGCTTTGAGGGTGATGCTGAGAAGTCTGGACTTTACCCACTGTGGAATCTTAAGCAGGGGAGCAACCTGATGGAATTGGCACTTCAGAAAAATCGCTGGTGACTCATTTGGAGAAAGGGTGAATGGGAAACTGGTTAGGAGTTGTCCAGGTTAGCAGGGGCTTCCATGAAGGCAGAGCAAGGGGCACAGTTTCAGGACAGCATCAGGAATTGGGCTGGACTGATGGGCTAAAGGGAGGTCAGGAAGCAGGGAAGTACAAGGTGGCATGCAGGTGTCCCCTGGAGTGATGGATGGACAGTGTCCTCACTCACCAAGAGTAGACTTGCAAGAGGAAGGGCAGGTATTTTGAGAGGAAGGAGCAAGGGGAGGAGTTCCATTTGGGCTCCTCGGCTGTGAAGTGTCCAAGGTTCCCCCAGCAGAGTTGTCCAGCAGAAGGTGCCTCTGCAGTACACAGTTCTGGGGGTCCCCAGTGTCACGCGGGAGCCAGTAGAGTGAGAAGAGAAGAGATGAGGACAGATCCCTGGGAGGCACCAGTTCGAGGAGGGAAAGCTGTGACAGGGACTGAGAGGAAGAGGACAGTGTGGATGGGGAGACAGGCAGACAACCAAGAGAGAGAAGTCTCCTCAGCCCAGGAGGAGTGGTCAGTACCGGCAGGGCTGCAGGAGGCCTTGCAATGTAAGAGCAGGAAAGGCGCCCAGTGCCCAGCCCTCAGAGCGGGGAGATGAGCGTGGTGTCGAGGCAGCCGTGAGACAGAAGGCAGCCCGCAGCGGGTGAGGGGTGGTGGGAGGCAAAGCAGTGGGCAAGGAGCTTGGCCAAGAAGTGGAGTTGAGAGAAAGGGCAGGGGCTGCTGGGGAACTGAGGATGAGAGTTGAAGGTGGATGTGCTGTGTTAAAATAGTGAACTGCATTTGTGCACATATACCCTATAAGCTATAAGAGGTGAGTGGAGTGTGGACCATGGGCTGCCAGGGTCAGTGAAGGATACCAGGATGGCTGGGTGAAAACTTGCTCTAAAAACCATTGACTGGGTAGCTTTTGCAGAGATGATACCCTGAAACCAAAAGGCCACTGCACATTCCCTGAAATCCTGGAATGAGACCCTCACCTCCAGGCTGGCTACTTTACCTGAGAATCCACCAGCTATTGACTGGGCTTACTACGAGGCCCATGTGGCCAAAGCAGGCTTGGTGGATGACTTTGAGAAGAAGTTTAATGCCCTGAAGTTTCCTGTACCAGAGGATAAATATACTGCCCAGGTGGATGCTGAAGAAAAAGAAGATGGGAAAACTTGTGCTGAGTGCGTGTCTCTCTCAAAGGCAGGATTGGAGAGTATGAGAAACAGCTGGAGAAGATGAGGAACTTAATTCCATTTGATCAGTCCACTAAGGACTTGAATGAAGCTTTCCCAGACACCAAATTAGACAAGAAAAAGTATCCCTATTGGTCTCACCAACCAATCATGAATTTATAAAATTAAGTCCAGGAAGAAGCTCTGGCCCTTATATTACACATTCTGGACATTAAAAATAAAAATAATTATATAATTTTTTTTTTAAAAAAGCTGAGTGGAGACAGAGAGAATTGAAAATACAGAAGGGAGGACAATGCTGGTGAATGAGGTTCCCAAGAGAGAAGGACCCACAAAGCAGGGGATGTGGGGAGAAGTGCCCAGGGCACAGAAAGACAGGGTGGGCATGGGTGTCCCACCCACTCCACAGGCAGAGCCCTTCCCTCTCTTGTCCTCTCTCTCCTTCCACCTGCGCTTTTCTCCCTACGAAAGGGCTTGTGCCTTTCTTCCTAGGATCAAGGCCCTTGCTCACCTGCATTCCCGCCCTCTCACCTATTTCCAAACCTCCTCCACAAATTTTCCCCATTTTTCTTCCTCTATTTTATTTGTGATTATTTGCTTTTGTTTGTGATTTGTCCTGGACCTGCCAGGTCTCACGCAAGACAATGCCACTGCCAAAGTTAAGTACAGTGAAATCATATTAAAGGAGATCCAGACAGAGTGGTTCTGTTTGCATTTAATGTTCAGGAAGTGACTTTTCAGGATAAGAGAAAGGCCTTGGTTACCTAGCAGGGTTCTCAGCTCAGTGAGGTGCTTTACGGTGTGAGCAGAGTCTTGGGACCCTGATGCTACTTCCAGCAGCCCCCTGCATCCCTCTGGCAGGCCCATCAGCTCGCTTCTCCCTCCTGACTTCTCCACCACAACACAGCACCTGTCTGGGAATGCCCTATTGCTCAAGAGCTATCAAAGGCCTACATGGCACAAGGCTGTGACAGTTCACCAGCTTCCACACCTCCTCTCAATCCAGCAACACCGCCAAGAAAAACGCGAGGGCAAGTGAGCAAACCAGTTGTGATCTGCTTGGTAATCAGGTGGCAGTGCAGCAGTCCAGCCCCGCCTTCGGTTCTCCTGGAGTCTTCCAATGGAAGGGGAAGCAGACACTCTGGCACCAGTTTGCTGAAGCTCCAGACCGCCCAGCTGTTCTGTGGGGAGCATCCCAGGAACCGGAGGCAGCCACCATGGCCCAAGGTAGGGAAAGCCCCTGTGGCCACTAGAGTTCAGGGATAAAAAGGACAGAGAGAGACTGTAGGAAGTCAAGGGGTGGAGGGTGTATTCAGAGAAATAAAGAAGTAAATACAGAACTGAGTCAGGAAAGACAAGAACCCCAGAAACCTCAGTATTCATCGGTGGCTTGAGAACCACTAGCGTAGAGGTTGACAGGTAAACACAGCCACACAGCTGCATGCTAACATGCCTGCCTCCATAGCCAGGTGGGACAGGGCAGGACCAGGGATGAGGGGGTCAGGGTTTCTGTCCTTCTCAGCTACTAGCTGACCCTTTGACATCGGATGGTCACTTTGCCTCTAGTTTCCAACCCCCTTGCCTGAAAAAGGAGAGATTGGATCAGACAATCTTGAAATTGTCTTCCAGCTCTTAAGTTCTCTGAATCTTCATATCTTCTCTTCCTCCTCCATTTCCGAGGGTCTATTTCTTATCTTAGCTAATCTTCCCATCGCCAGCCTTCTCGCTATATCATCCCCTTCTCTCTGGAAAGAGCTTCTATGAAGATTAAATCGTCAGTTGAAATCATTCAGAGGAATAAGCTTTCAACTTCCTCTACAACTGTAACAGCCTTACCTTTATTTATTACTTTTTTTTTTTTTTTTTTTTTTTGAGACAGAGTCTCACTCTGTCGTCCAGGCTGGAGTGCAGTAGCGTGATCTCAGCTCACTGCAACCTCCGCCTCCCAGGTTCAAGCAATTCTCCTGCCTCAGCCTCCCGAGTAGCTGGGATTACAGGCGCGTGTCACCATGCCCAGCTAATTTTTGCATTTTTAGTAGAGACGGGGTTTCATCATGTTTCTCAGGCTGGTCTCAAACTCCTGACCTTGTGATCCTCCTGCCTTGGCCTCCCAAAGTGCTGGGATTACAGGCATGAGCCACTGCACCCGGCCCCATATTTATTACTTTTTGTGTTTAAATTTTTGTTTTAAAATTTTCATAACTTTTTTTTTTTTTTTTTGGAGACAGAGTCTCGCGCTGTTGCCCGGGCTGGAGTGCAGTGGCCGGATCTCAGCTCACTGCAAGCTCCGCCTCCCGGGTTTGCGCCATTCTCCTGCCTCAGTCTCCCGAGTAGCTGGGACTACAGGCGCCCGCCACCTCACCCGGCTAGTTTTTTGTATTTTTTAGTAGAGACGGGGTTTCACCGTGTTAGCCAGGATGGTCTCGATCTCCTGACCTCATGATCCGCCCGTCTCGGCCTCCCAAAGTGCTGGGATTACAGGCTTGAGCCACCGCGCCCGGCCAAATTTTCATAACTTTTAATTGCACAACAAATATGGGAATACATAGTTGGAGTAAAATAAATCAATAATTATAGATATAGTCTATCTATAGACTATAGACTATAGTCCTCTGCCTGCCATCCGCAATGGCAACCTCATCTCCAGAGTGAACGCTGTTACCTGTCTTTTGTTTGCACATTTACATTCAGACATATATTTACTCAATGTAATACATAGGATTAGCATGTGTGGTCTTTTTTGGTATATCCATGGTATCATGATGTTGTATGTATATTTCTGCAACTTGATTTATTTCACTACACAGTATGTCTGGGAGCTCTGTCCATACCAGTCAGTACCTATAGATCTACCTCAACTTTTCCCATAGTATCAGTGCAAGTAATTTCTAATCCAGTCCCCTTTTGATGGGCATTTAGGTTGCTTTCAATTTTCCAGTTACACGAGCAATATTGCAAGGAACGTCCTTATCCATGCCTCTGTGTGCTCATGTGGGAGTGTCTTTCTAGGATAACTACGAAGATCACTTACTTTAAAAAGTTTTTCTACAATCTCTGTTTATTTCCTGATCATTTCACCCAATTCTCTTCTCACCTCAAGGAAAACAAATATGCCCAGTAGCCAATGAACCTCCTATTTGAATAGATGGCACCTGGGCTGAAGAGTCATCCCTGTCTTAGGCAGGGATTAACATGGCCCAGGATGTCTCTAAGGATGGAATTCTGCCCCAGCACTTGCTGCCAGGCAGATGCTGCCATGCCTGCTAAGTAGCCTGAGTCATGTGCCCAACCTGAACTGCAGCCAGTTAGCGCTGTCTAATCAATTGGTCTCCAAAAGGGGTGAGCTTCTTTTTCCACTATTAGGTAAAAGCCAAGTGCTTTCTTAGCTGGCAGTGGGTGTGGACATTTTTTTGATCACGAGTGAAAGTCAACAGTGGGCAACAGCTGTTGGGTGATGGGAAGAGCACTGGACTGGGCTCAGGAATCTGGTTTAACCGTACGCAAGATATTTAACCCACCTGAACCTTAGTTTTCTCATCTCCAAGTGTGGATGACATGACATTTTGTCCCTCCAAGGATGCGATGAAGATTAAATGAGATAACTGTCCTAGCATACCTGGCACAGTGCCTGGCACATAGTAGATAGGCCCTCAATAAGATGTTGATTAAATCTGAAATCTGAAATAAGTACAGGGTGATTTTGCAAAAGATAGAGAATTCTATTCAACCTAGCAAATCTGAGTACCTACAATATGCTGATCATTATGCTTAACTTCTTTATAATGAAAAACTAGTTTATGAAAAAGATGTGTGTTAAAGTAATCAAAAGCACTCAAAGAGATTTAAGACAAAGTTTAATACTTATTAGGGTATTTTGGTACAATTTGGTTCATATTTGTTTATAACAACTTTATTGAGATATAATTCATATACCATCAAGTTCACCTTTATAAAGTCCACAATTCAGTGGTTTTTCATATACTCACAAAGTTTTGCAAGCATCGCCACTATCTAGTTCCAGAACATTCCGTTACCTCAAAAAGAAATCCCATACACATTGGCAGTCACATCCCATTCCACCTTTCTTTAGCCCCTAGCAAACCCTAATCTACTTTCTGTCTCTATGAATTTGCCTATTCTGGACGTTTCATATAAATATAATCATACAATATGTGTCTTTTTATGTCTGACTGACTTCTTTCACTTAGCACAGTATTTTCAAGGTTCATCCATATTTGGTATGTTAAGCATTCTTTTTTTACAGCCAGATGACATTCCTTTGCATGACATATCATTTTGTTTATCTGTTCTTCAGTTGATGGACAATTGAGTTGTTTCTACTTTTTGGCTATTATGAATAATACTGCTATCATTATTCAGGTATTATGTGAACGTGCTTTCATTTGTCTTGGGTATATACCTGGGGATGGAATTGTTACGTCATATGGTAACTCTTTGTTGAATGTCTTGAGGAACTTCCAGACTGTTTTCCAAAGTGCTGCACATTTTACAACCCCATCAGCAATGTATGAGGATTCCACTTTCTCTGCATCTCCACTAACACTTGTTATTATAGTCATCCTAGTGGAGGCAAGATGGTATCTCATTTGTATTTCCCTAGGACTAATGATGTTGAGCATCTTTTCATGTACTTATTAGCCTTTTGTGTATCTCCTTTGGAGAAATGTGTATTTAGGTCCGTTGCCCATTTTAAATTTGAGTTGTCTTTTTTATTGTAGAGTTATATGAATTTTTTAAAAAAGTATTCTGGATATAAGTCCCTTACCAGATATATGATTTACAAATATTTCCTAACATTCTGTGGGTGTTCTTTTGACTTTCCTGACGATGTTCTCGAAGACAAAAAATTATTATTTTGATGAGGTCCACTTCATTTGGTTTTTCTCTCACTGCTTGTACTTCTGCTGTCATATCTGAGAAACTGTTGCCTAGTCTAAGATCACGAAGACTTACGTCTATGTTTTCTTCTAGGAGTTTCATAGCTTTAGCTTTTATGTTTAGGTCTTTGATCCATTTTGAGTTAATTTTTAATAAATAGTGTGAGTTATGCATCCAACTTCATTCTTTTGCATGTGGATATCCACTTGTCCCAGCACCACTTTTTGAAAAGAGCATTCTTTCCCCCATTGAATTGTCTTGGCACCCTTGTCAAAGATCAATTGCCTGTAAATGTGAGTTTCTTGCTAGACTCTCAGTTCTATTCCACTGATCTATATGTCTATCCTTATGCCACTACCACATTGCCTTGATCAAGAAGTGCCACTCTTCTAATTTTGTTTTCACTTTTCAATATTGTCTGGCTGGTATGGATCCCTTGTATTTCTGTATGAATTTTAGGATCCACTTGTCAATTTCTACAAAATGGCTGTTGGGATTTTGTTAGGGGTTGTGTTGAATCTGTAGAAAAACTTGTTATTTGAATGATATTGCCTTCCAATCCATGAAGATGGAATGTCTTTTTATTTATTTAGGTCTTCTTTAATTTCTTTCAATGATGTTTTGTGGTATAGGTTTTGCACTTCTTTTGTTAAATTTATTAAGTCATTCTGTTTGATGCTGTTATAAATGGAATTGTTTTCTTAATTTTATTTTCAGGTTACTCTTTGCAAATGTGTAAAAATACAATTGGTTTTTGTATATTGATATTGTGTCCTACAACCTTACTGAATTCATTTATTAATTCTTTTTTTTTTGGCGGGTTCCTTAGGATTTTCTATATACAAGATTATGTCACATGTAAATAGAAACAATTTTACTTCTTTCCAATCTGTTTGTCTTTTATTTCTTTTCTTTTTCTTTCTTTCTTTCTTCTTTTTCCTTTTTGCCTAATAGCCCTAGCTAGAACCTCTAGTAGAATGTTCAATAGATGTGACAACAGCAGACATTCTTGTCTTGTTCCTTATCTTAGCAAGAAAGCATCCAGTCTTTTGCTATTAAGTATGGTATTGGCTGTGGGCTTTGGAGTGCAGTGGTGCGATCTTGGCTCACTGCAGCCTCCACCTCCTGGGTTCAAGCAATTCTCTGCCTCAGCCTCCCGAGTAGCTGGGATTACAGGGGCCCACCACCACACCCAGCTAATTGTTGTATTTTTAGTAGAGATGGGGTTTCACCATCTTAGCCAGGCTGGTCTTGAACTCCTGACCTTGTGATCCACCCGCCTCGGCCTCCCAAAGTGCTGGAATTACAGGCGTGAGCCACCGCACCTAGCTGGAAGTCCCCTTCTATTCTTAGTTTGTTGAGTATTTTTATCATGAAAGAATGTTGGATTCCGTTGAATGCATTGGTTCACTTTTAAGAAGTCAAAATACAACCAAGACAAAGCAGCTAAGTCTCTGTACTTATTGGCTTATATCTAGAGGCAAAAGACAGACACATAAAAAAGTAGCTAAGAAAAACATCTGGGGCCAGGTGCAGTGGCTCACGCCTATAATCCCAGCACTTTGGGAGGGCGAGGCAGGCGGATCACAAGGTCAGGAGATCGAGACCATCCTGGCTAACACGGTGAAACCCTGTCTCTACTAAAAAATACAAAAAATTATCCAGGTGTGGTGGTGGGCACCGGTAGTCCCAGCTACTCGGGAGGCTGAGGCAGGAGAATGGTGTGAACCTGGGAGGCGGAGCTTGCAGTCAGCCGACATCATGCCACAGCACTCCAGCTTGGGCGGCAGAGCGAGACTCCGTCTCAAAAAAAAAAAAAAAGGAAAAACATCTGAACACTTCATCCTAACCCTTACATGTTTATATAAATGAACACATGAGCCTGGCATGTAAATTAACTTGTCAATTAAGCCAATGAGCGATTCAGTTAAGTGTATAGCTCAGTAGGTGATGGAAAGAAGGGCTGGCCAATTGAGGCAGGCTTCATAGAGCAGGTGGATATTGGAGGAGAGTTGGAATTTGGTTAGAGAGTGAGGGGCCATTCTGAGTTGGGGCTATAACAGCAAATACAAAGACAGGGATTTGCTTGGGGATAGATTGGCTAGAGGAGAGGGCCAATGCTGGGAATGATGAGAAGTGAGAATGCAAGAATAAGCTAAGGCCAAGTATGAAAAGTTGTGTCAAGTTAAGGAATGAGCCTTTTATATGATAGACTGTAGGAGATCTCAGAACTTGTAAAGCAAAAGAGTGGCATGATTAAATTGTCTTGAGGAAAGGTAATCTGATAATGCATTAAGAGATGGGAGATGGGGAGAGAGACAGGAGGCAGGAGACCTCATGGAGGCTATTACGGTCACTAGGTATGAGAATACATTGGATTATGTGAATGTGGAAAGGGATGGATAGACACCAGAGATATTTTAATGGCAGGCATGAAGAGAGTTAGTGACGTGTGAATGGGCATAGGCTGAGGAGGAGATGGGTGAGCCAATGGTGATTTAAAGGCTGTGAGCCCACCAGGTGACTGGGACCATGGCAGAACCATGGTCAAACATGGAAAAATCAAACACAGACCCTTCTGGCAGAGACTAGCGAGGTCAGTCTGTGTTTTAGCAGAGTCTCCAGAAGGTGGGGAATGGAACTTTCTTTGACTGTCATCAGCATCCAAGCTCCCAGGGCACTGAGCACACGGCCTGTGGTGGTCAGAGAGCCAGCAGATGGCCAGTGGCTCCAGCCTGTAATCCCAGCACTTTGGGAGGTTGAGATGGGCGGATCACAAGGTCAGGAAATCGAGACCATCCTGGCTAACACGGTGAAACCCCGTCTCTACTAAAAAATACAAAAAAACTAGCCGGGCGTGGCCGTGGGTGCCTGTAGTCCCAGCTACTCAGGAGGCTGAGGCAGGAGAATGGCGTGAACCCGGGAGGCGGAGCTTGCAGTGAGCTGAGATCGCACCACTGCACTCCAGCCTGGGGGACAGTGTGAGACTCCGTCTCAAAAAAGAAAAAAAAAGAAAAGAAGAGCAGCTAGTTCAAGGAAAGTTAACCCCAGGGCAGCTAAACCAAGGAGTAGCTCCCCAGACCTGGAGGCTAGTACAGGGGCAAGTGAGACTGTTAACTTGAGTCCAAGAAAGTGGATGCTGGGGTGAATCTGAAGCCATGTGAGGCTGAAGGGAGTAATCAGACTTGGCCAGGTCTACAGAAGGACTTGGACAGAGGCAGAAAACCACGCCCCTCCGGAGTGTGTAAAGGAGAAGAAGATAGAGGGTCAGGGAGAGAGGAGAGGAAGGAAGAAAGAGGAACCTGCATGCCTGGAACCTCATTAAATCCTCATCCTCACCCTGGCAGGCTGATCTTACGGACTCTATTTTACTGATGTGGAAACTGAGACTCAGGCTAAGTTACTTTCTCAAGTTTGCGGAACTAGTAAGTGGTAGGTAGGATTGGCTCCACAACCCCACTCTTTTGTCTAACCCTGGCTGCCCCATTGCAGGGCTAGAAGTGGCCCTCACAGACCTCCAGAGCTCCAGAAATAATGTGCGGCACCACACGGAAGAGATCACTGTTGACCACCTCCTTGTTCGCCGGGGCCAGGCCTTCAACCTCACCCTGTACTTCAGGAACCGGGGCTTCCAGCCAGGCCTGGACAACATCATCTTCGTGGTTGAGACTGGTAAGAACCCCAGCTGGCTCGCAGGGGCTAACTGTGTGTGTCTGGGAGGGGATTTTCGGGGGTTTGGAGGTCGCCATAGAGGGCCTCAGCTCTACTTCCCTCCTAGGACCACTGCCAGACCTGGCCTTGGGGACTCGGGCTGTGTTCAGCCTGGCACGCCATCACAGCCCCAGTCCCTGGATCGCCTGGCTGGAGACCAATGGGGCCACCTCCACAGAAGTGAGTTTGTGCGCTCCTCCCACGGCGGCCGTGGGTCGGTACCTCTTGAAAATCCACATCGACTCCTTCCAGGGGTCTGTGACAGCCTACCAGCTCGGGGAGTTCATCCTGCTCTTCAATCCCTGGTGCCCGGGTAAGGCAGGGTGCCCATGCAGGGCCCTCCTTTCTCTTCTGTCAGCGCTGCCAGAGAGACAGACTCAAGGATTTCTAGACCCGGCTCCCGGGCCACCCAGAGCCTCCCAAATTCCCTGTACTCAGCATCCCCCCCCAACCATCACCAATTAGGGCAGAAAACCTTGCTATTCATTTACTTACTTAGAATTTTCAAGTTATAAACCAAATCATCTTTGCTTAAACAGAAAAACTGTTACAATTAAGTGTGATCATGAATAACATCTACCTTCATCATATATTTTTAAGTTAACTAGAGTTTTTTTCATTATAAAAGTAATGAATGCACTGCATTAAGTATTTATGGAATGAAGGAAAGGGTTTAAAGAAAAGAAAGAAAAGTATAAAGTAAAAAGTAAAGCCTCCCAGTCTCTAAGTTCCATTCAACAGCAGTTCTATTCTTACAGATTCCATTCACCTTTAACATTTTCTTTTGTAGTTTTACAAAAGTGTTCTATGCTTAATCGAATACGTACACCTCTGTGTGTGTGTGATTCTACAATACACAGCGTAAGTGAGATTATGTAATACATACCATTCTCCAGTTTCTTTTTTTTAAAATTTAACAATTCAACTTTGGGCACATTTTCCTATCGGAGCATTCTTCTTAACAGCTACAATTATTCCACTGCTTGGATGCACTAGATATTTTTAACTAGTCCTCTATGGGCATTTTGGCTGTTTCCAGTTTTGTTTTGCTTTTTTTCTTCTTCTTCTATAAACAAAGTCACAGTGAATCTCTCAAACTACCTGTCTCTCAAGCCCTGACCTCTAAATCTAGTTGGGGACAGGGCTAGATACATAGGCAGACACAAGGACACGATGTGGGCAGAAGGGATCAGGGGTAGAGAATGGATCTGCTGTGCCTTTGAGCAGAGGCCAGACTCACAAGTCTGGCTTCTGACTTAGGGGATGATCCCCTTCCCATCTTCCCTCTCTTTCTACCTTTTCCCCCAGCCTTATCCCAAGGAGGCCTCCTGGGTCACATCAGGACCCAGAGCCCTGGCTGGGTTCTAATGCCTCTAACCACTTCCCACTTCCCTGTGCCTGAATGGCTCAGAATGCTCACCCATCAGCCAGGTGGAGAGACCCTGCCATGGGATCCAGGAGGGCCAGTCGACTGTTTTCCCTGTCTCTGTCTCCTCTCTCTCTCTCTCTCTCTCTCTCTCTCTCTCTCTCTCTCTGAGGGCCTTCTGAGCAGTGGGGAGAAAAGCGTTAATGGTGGGGCCTTCTCTCTTGAGCTTGTGCCACACCCAGGCCCTGGGGAGACCCAACACTGGGCCTAGGGTTGGCAGGGGCTGAAGTGCCCTCTGGTGCTGCAGGACGGGAAGGTATTGTCTGGGAAGCCTCACCCTGTAGCTCAAGCCACTGGGGCCCTGGCTGAGAGGAGGGGGCTGTGTGGTCTCAACCATAAACCTGCAGCTTCTCACCACACTGACCCAAACCCTCAATAAAATACATCTCAGCAACGAGGCCTCCTGCACCAGCCTCCTATCAGGCTGTGTCTGAGGCTGCCTCTGAGGAGGGCACCTTTCCCTCAGGGTCAGGCAGAACTTCCAGACAGTTCCAGAACCCTGTGAGGAGGACGTCTGCGCCCATGGCCTTTTGTTTGTTCTTAACTTTAAAAAGATAATTTTAAACTTTTATTTTAGGTTCAGGGGTACATGTACAGGTTTGTTACGTAGGTAAACTGCACATCACAGAGGTTTGGTTTGATGTACGCATTATTTTGTTACCCAGGTAATAAGCATATTACCTAACAGGTAGTTTTTCAATCCTTACCTTCCTCCCACCCTCCACCCTCAGACAGGCCCCATTACTTTCAATGGCAAAAATCGCAATTACTTTTGCACCAACCTAATATTAAGATATTTTTGAATCGGCTTCAAAACCCTCTGTTCATATGGGCAGCATGTGTATGTATGTATATATATACACATTCGTGCTGTAAACATGGTTCATAGTCTGTAGAGACTTCATGTATCACATACAGACTTCCATGTCCATGTACACGATTTTGCTGCCTTACGTCCCTACGGTATGGAATTCCGCGGTGGAGCTGTACCGAAGATAACTAACTACTCCCCAAGAATAGGGCGTGGATGGTTTCCAGCTTCGCAGTATCACAAACGGCACTCAGACGAACAGCTTAGTGTCTAAATCTTTGTGCACATATGAAATGCTTTGCCCAGATTAAATACCTACAAAAAGAATAATGAGGTCAAGGCCGACCCTTAAGGTCTGGTTTGCTCTTTTCCAACCAAGATTAGTGTAGCAGAAAGAGCACAGAATATGGAACCAGCGGGCTGTGTTCAATTTCCAGCTCTGTACTGATGTGTGATTTGGGCAATTTACTTAATCACTCTGAGCCTGTTTCCTCAACCTTAAAATGGGGATAGGATGTAAATGTGCTTTGTAAACCAAGAAATTCTACCAAAGGTGAATTTTTATTATTCCACCTCGTGTTCATGTTGAACCTGTTGGTGGTGTTGGGAGCGCGGACTCCCTAAGACCCACCGCCTCGTGCCCCTCTTGGTGTCGCCAGGGGCCCTTGCTCCAGAGCTGTTTCCTCTGGGACTATGGGGATGAGAATGGGGCAGGAAGGGAAAGGTGACTTTTCTGCTTCGTGCCCTCCCACTCTGGTTCCTAGAGGATGCTGTCTACTTGGACAGTGAGCCCCAGAGGCAGGAGTATGTCATGAATGATTACGGCTTCATCTACCAGGGCAGCAAGAACTGGATCCGCCCGTGTCCCTGGAACTACGGACAGGTGAGTCTCAGCCCTGCTTATGGCCCATCCCGGCCCTGAGCTTGTGGGGAGAGGGAGCAAGGTGCACGTGAGGTTCACCTAGAACTGCTGACCAACGCTCACTAAATGGCACGAGGAAGATGTGTGTTGTGAGCCCAGGTTGCCCGAGGAGCAGCCACAGGGAGTGGGAGGGTCTGTCCTTTGCTAATCGTGTCTGATTTGGACAACAGGAGCTAAGGGAAAGGGCAGTTAAAGGCCCCTTATCCAGGAATTCTACTGAGCATGAGGGTGAGGATGGAGAGCATGATAAGCACCACGTCAGTGATGATGGCATTTGGGTTCATTAAACTGTTTTTCCTTTGGGGTCCCATTTTCCACTCTCTCACTTCATCCTCACAACCCCTGGTGACTGACCCTAGCATCAATTCTGTCACACCAAGGACAACTTGCCCTTGAACGTTTCAGCCAGAAGCAGGACTGATGAGCAGCAATGCATCTCCCTCCCCTTGGCTATTGTCTCTCTATTTATGTGTCTTTTTGATGAGATATCTTTTTAATTATGAAAGTTAATACATGATTGTTTAAAAAGCTTTGCAAAGAGACATTACAAAAATGGATACATGAAGGTCATCCCAAGCACTGTCACCAGCTTGGTGTATGTTCCTCTACATTTTGTTTTCTACACACATTCTAAAATGCTACTTAATATGTAAAAGTAACATCGTATTAATTGCAATGCTCTGCACCTCCTGCCTTTCTAAAAGCCTGCCTTTCTTTTCAAATTCAGCCTGCAGCAGGGGCTTCAGGAAGTCCAGCACCAGGCAAGGAAGAGGGCTCTCGAGGTTCAGCCCCATGCCAAGAGCACTGTGGGAGGGAGGGATCAGCTCTCGGCCACTCAGAAGGCTGTCAGCTGGGAAACCCTGGGGATCCTCGTGGAGCTTTGTCTCAGCTTGATATGAATTTCTCCCCTGGACCTGCCCAAATAGAACTCCAACACATGTGTCCTTCCAGCCCCAGTCTGGGCCTAGGGTTGGCTATAGCCAAGACGAGAGAGAGCGGTCTCAACTGGCCCCAACTCACATCCCCGGTCCTCACTCAACATGGGCAGATTGGGCATCATGGAGAGACCTGGACAGGAGTTGGCTGCCATCTGTGAGAAACAGAAGTGAGGGGTTGCTGCTTTCTCAGCCCTGGGTCCCTCAGTTTGTCTTTCTTTTTTTGTTGTTGTCTTGTTTTTGTTTTTGAGACATCATCTTGCTCTGTCACCCAGGCTGGAGGGCAGTGGTGACATCATAGCTCGTTGCAGCCTTGACCTCCTGGACTCAAGTGATCCTCCTACCTCAGCCTCCTGAGTAGCTGGGACTAAAGGCATGCCCCACTACGCCTGGCTAATATTTTTAGTTTTTGCAGAGACGAGGTCTCACTATATTGCCCAGTCTGGTCTCAAACTCCTGGGCTCAAGTGATCCTCCCGTCTCGGCCTCCCAAAGTGTTGGGATTACAGGTGTGTGCCATCACACCCGGCCTATTTCTGTCTTTCTTCTTCATTAAGTGTATATTGGTTGCCTGCTCAGTGTCAGGCAGGGTGCTAAGTGCTAGATATATGAAAATGAATACAACATTGTCCCTGATCTTACAGTGTAACGGGGACTCAGACACATAAACAGGTCACTTATCACACAGTGGAATATATAAAGACTGAGAGATAGGGGCACAGTGTTCTGAGAGCCAAGGGGAAGAGCTCTTGGTTGGGCATGGGAGTATCATGGAATCTTCCTGGGAGAGGAGATGTTTGAACTGAGTTAGCCAAGTGAAGGACGGTGGGAAAAACATCCCAGACAGAGGGAAGGCATGAGCAAAGACATGAGGGTGGGAAATGGTTCGGCCCAGTGCAGGAATTTGGTGTTGCTGAAGAAATAATGGTGGGGATGGAGGGGGTGGGGACGGCGATTATTGAGACCTGAGCCTGGAGAGATAGGTTGGGGCCAGGTCTGGGAGGAACTTGTGTGCCTACTGAAGGAGGTCAGAGCTTTGATTCTTTAAGCTGTAGGGGGCCTTTGAAAATTGTAAAACAGAAAAGTGAGCTGATCAGACTATCCTCTGGGGAAGATTGATCAGAGAAGCCTCCTAATTCTGCGTGTTGCCCAGTGTTGCACAGGAGTGAATGCATTCTTTTACACGCGTTCTACAAGGAGGTACAGAGTTCCTGTAATGTGCTGCGCACCGTGCCAGGCCTAAGGTCCAGAGTTGTGAAGGGAACTGGACTGGAACAGTGCCGAGACTCAGGCAGGAAAAGACAGACTTGACTATATCACATAGCCGAGTCTCATGAGGAGAGAGGACATACCCAGGGCTGTGGAGCTAAAGCAGGCTCAGGCTCGGGGAAGGCCTCAAACAGAGTGGCATTCACACCAAGTCTGAAGGACCAGGAGGAGCCAGCCTACCTTGGGTGGGAAATTCCCTAACTCACATGTAATTAGTCAGCCTAGAGCCCTAGTGAATCACGGGTGCCATGGCAGGTTGGCACCCTCACTTCAGCAGCAGCTGCCAATGCTAAGCTGGGTCAGCAGGTGAGTGTGGAAGCAGGGGCAATGTGGATTTGGTAAGAACGCCCCCTGGGGCTCTAGGAGTGTGGGGATTGAGAGGAGTGGAGGAGCCTTTTCAATCGGTCAGACTTACTGGGGAAAACCCCAGAACAACCCAGGAGTAGCAACAGTCATCTGGAGTGAAGAGGAGGGATTTGGTGTGCAGGGCATACACGCCAGCTGAATTGTGACCCTAGAACTTTGAAACCCCACACCTGAATGGGAGGAGATTCATGGCTGTTCTGTTTGACACAGTTACTTTCCAAGTGAGTTTATATTCCACTGGGGTTGAGGGGGGAAGTCATTACTTTTTACATATTCCCATGTGACAAGCATGGGTGCCTTCCCTCTCGGCCTCTCCCCCTGAAGTTTGAAGAGAAAATCATAGACATCTGCCTGAAGCTGCTGGACAAGAGCCTGCACTTCCAGACTGACCCAGCCACAGACTGTGCCCTGCGGGGAAGCCCCGTCTACGTCAGCAGAGTGGTGTGTGCCATGGTGAGGTCCCTGGCATGCCTGGGGAGGGGGAAGCTGTGCAGTGGGAGCCCTGCCCACTCACAGTTGTCCCCTGCAGTGGGTGAAAGAGGGACCCTCTGGCGAAGCCATCTTGGATGAGACTGACGCCAGAATGTGGGTGACAACTTTTCTCAACAGAGCTCTGAAATAGCTGGGCGTAGGTCCTCACCTCTATGAATTCCAAATTACCTATTTTGAGAAAGGGTGAGTGTAGCTCCAGTTTGCGAAACGGTCTTGTTGTTTCTAAATTTCCTCTTTTCTGAAGTGTTTTTTAAAGGTCTCACAGGTAGGCTCCAGCTTTGCAGGGGATGGGAGGACGCGGGTAATGGGTAGATAGGAACATAATAATAAACTAATTCACAGTGGAGCAAAATTCAGAAGAGTCAACACCCATCCCTAGTCCTCCCCAGCAAGTCTGGAAGTCTGCAGTAAAATGCTGTTAAAGTCTCTCCTCTGTTTCTCAGGCCCATGGCTCTTCCAAGGCAGCCTACACATGACGTGTTGAGGAAATGGATGCTTCTAACACTTCTCTATATGGCTTCTCTTCAGATCAACAGCAATGATGACAATGGGGTGCTCAATGGAAACTGGAGTGAGAATTACACAGATGGCGCCAACCCTGCGGAGTGGACGGGCAGCGTGGCCATCCTGCAGCAGTGGTATGCCACAGGCTGCCAGCCTGTGCGCTATGGGCAGTGCTGGGTCTTTGCTGCCGTCATGTGCACAGGTAGGAGGTAGAAAGGACCCCATGAAAAGGTCAGAGGTATAGAGCTCATGTATGAGCCTTCTGAACCATTCCCATCCCAGTCCCACACGGTTCACACCAAGGGACATTTTCCCCTCTGAAATGTGTCGGCCAGGCGTGGTGGCTCACACCTGTAATCCCAGCACTTTGGGAGCCTGAGGCAGGTGGATCCCAAGGTCAGGAGTTCAAGACCAGCCTGGCCAAGATGGTGAAACCCCATCTCTACTAAAAATACAAAAATTAGCAGGGCATGGTGGCAGTCACCTGTAATCCCAGCTACTTGGGAAGCTGAGGCAGGAGAATCGCTTGAACCCAGGGGGTGGAGGTTGTAATGAGCTAAGATCATGCCACTGCACTCCAGCCTGGGTGACAAGAGTGAAACTCCCTCTCAAAAAATAAATAAACAAAATAAAAAATAAAATGTCTCGTCACAGACCTCAGACTGCACATGTCTGGGCTTATGTCAGACCATGGTTCTGAAGTGACAGTCACACGTCCCAGGATGCCTGACACCCTTGCTTCTTCTGAGCTTAGGCAACCTACCAGCATATTCCTAAGAGCCTGGCTGGGAACGGTCTAGGTTCAAGACAGAAATGAGATGAAAGGCTAAGTAATTAGGAAACTACAAACTGATTAGTGTCCTTTCTGAGCACAGAGAATGGGCTCAATGAAGATGTGTACATGGAAGGGAAACGTGAGTCAGGGCTGTGGTGTGGGCCATGGGGCCAGAGCAAGATGGCAGCCCAAGCAATGACCTTGAATTGGGAGTTGTTGAGGGCCTGATAGCCTTACTCCGGCCAGAGGGTTAGGGGAAGGGAGAAAATGTGAGGTCAGCATTTCAGATAAGGAATGGATACTACATTAGCAGAGGAAAAACTGAAAAATACATACGGGGAAAAGACAGCAAATGGAAGTTGGTTTGTGGGTGACAAGAGGAGGAGATAAGGAGGAAATCATGAGGGGGGTGATACTTGGAAATGAGTCACACACTGGAGGTGAAAGGAGGAGGCCTTCTGCCTCACCCAGGGCCAAGTGCTTGCTCCGGGTCCTCACCCTTGACCTGCCCCACACCCAGGCCAGCTCTCGACCTCTTGGCTTGCGCATCCTGATTAGGGTGGCAATCAGAAGGTTATTTGTTGTGTTAAGCTGGGGAGAGAGACCAAGCAAGGTTTTCGCTCACAGGACTCTTTAGGGAAATCCAGGAATGCCAGATCTGCCCATAACTTGTTTATTGGGGGCTCAGGCCTTCCGGGTGGAATTTCGTGTGTGACAAGGTTTAGTGCATTTCGTGTGCTTGTATGTACTGGGCTTATCTCTGGGCTGTTGGAAGACTGCAACTTCCCTGAAGGAAGCTCAGAGAGCCCCAGGCATCTGTCCAAGGGCATGAGGAGGCGTTGCCACTGAGAGAGAGTGACTTTGCACAGTTGATGAGAATGATCAGTAAGTCCCAAGCTTACTCCTCTGCAGCTGCAGAGCCAGCTCTTGAGTTGATTGAGTTGAGTTAGATGAGTTGAGTGCCCAGGTGTAAGAAACAAGGAATTCCACAGCTTTGAAACTCCAAGTCATGAAGATTTTGGTGAAGTGAGAGGTCTGAGTCCTTCAGGAAGCAGGCACAAGACTGACAGGTAGAGACTAGATCTTGTATAAGATAGAGAGGGAACCTTCCAGTGTGTGGAAAAGCCTAGCATCTAATGGGCCAGGTATGTGTGTGTAGAAGGAGTGAGCCAGGTTTGGTCGGGTGTGGTCGTCTGGAACTGCTTGATGAGAGAAGTGGAGCCAGTGAATGGAGATTATGCAATGACAGTAGACCAATTAACATGTTTGTGAGAATCATGGCCCTTTAGTGGCCTGGAAAACAAAGGGTTGGTCAAAGTAGGTCAAACGTGGCCCGGTCCCCTGTAGCTCAATCAGCACCAACCTTCCCCAAAAGGGTTACCATGTTATATATGAATAAATACAGCAGTTTGAAAAACTCATTCCTTCATCCAGCAATACTTATTGAGTCCTTATTCTACACCAGGGACTCACCGTGTTCCAAGAGCTCTTGGATATAAGATGGGTAAGACCCAGCTTCTGTCTTCAACTAAAGTTAAAATTAAAGATTTAGTCAAACTCCTTAACCTCAAACAGTTCCCAAAGCATGTTTTTTGAAAATATATATGTTATGATTTCATAGCCACAGTAACTAATGTTTACTGGGGACTTCCTTTGTGTCAGCAGACACTGTGCTAAAACCCTGATGGCCTAGGGTAGCGGAGAACCATGTGGACTCTGGAGGCGAGATGCGTGAGGTTGCACACCAGCGCTACCATTAACCGGCTGAGTGACCTTGGTCAAGTCATTTACCTTGTGCCTCGGTTTCCTCAGATGTACGGTGGGGAAAGTAATGGTACCTGCCTCATAGGATTATTGAAAGGATTGAGTGACTTCATACTGGAGAGTGCTTAGAATAGTGCCTGGCTATAGTGAGTGCTCAGGAAGCATCCGTTAGGGTCATCTTGTCTGATCACCTAAACGACCTTATGGGATGGGACCTACCATCTCCATTTTTCAGAAGAGGAGATTGAGTGGTGGAGTCAGCCTCATACCTGAGTCTGGCTGGCTCTTCAGGCCATGTGCTAACCATCAGGCCTTACCACCTCATGAGCATTGCTAGCAGCTGCCATTAATCCAGCACTAAGTCCCTCAGGAACACACTGGGCACTTTCACTTTTACCGATCCTGACCTCCACCTGCAAAGTCGATATCATTATAGCCGTTTCACAGATGAGGAAGCAGGCTTAAGGTGACCTGGGGACTCTGGTCTGACTCAGATGTGCACCTCCCCTCTACGGCCCTGCCTCCCCGGGTGGCCTTTCTATGTGTTGACACATTGACTTCAACTTCCCATAGAAAAACCACAAAAGGAGGCTTTGTATGCATCAAAGATGAGGTTATAATTTTGGGGGATGTGCTGTGTCCTTGGCATCCATTTAGTTGCCTGTTACTTGAGAATTTTAGAGAACTCCCTGGCCTACCCTTCCTGTGCCCAGGGCCAGGCACCCTAGAGCTCTAGGCTCTCAGGCTCTTCCTGTTCTGGCCGTTCACTCTCTGACAAGGTTGGAACCCTCAGCCCTTGGCTGAGGTCTGGGAAGTAGCCTGGATGCCTTGCACGATAGCAAGAGAACAGAGGGAACAGTCATGTTCTGTTGCCTGAAAACTCCCCAAAAGCCAGGTGTGAAAAAGCCACCTAGTATATAATTTCGTACATATGAAATGTCCAGAGCAGGCAAATTCATAGAGATAGAAAGTAGAGTGTGGTTGCTTAGGGCTGGGAGGAGGGGATAGTTGGGAGTGACTGCTAATGTAATGAGGTTTCCTTCTGAGGTGGAAATGTTTTGGAGTTAGACAGTAGAGATTGTTGCACAACCTGTGACTATATTAAAAACCACTGAACTGTACACTTTACAAGGGTCAATTTTACGGCATGCAAATTATATCTCAAGAAAGTTGTTTGAGAAGAAGCCAGGCATCCTGGGAATATGCCTGGTCTATTCTCGCCCATAACTGCGTGGGGTTGGAAGTGGGGTAGGGTAGAGCAATGACTTGGGCTGAGGGTTGGGAGGTACTAATGTGTGACTCTAAGTGGATGTACAGCACCATCCCTCTTCTGTAAAATAGGGTCCAAGGTCCCAGGGGCTGTAAGGGGAAGGGGAGGTGGGAAAGGGTGTGGGAGATGGGAGGCTGCCTGGTTGGGACTGCGACTGGGACCTCCTCTTAAACTAAAGCAACCCAATTTGCATGTCTTTGATACATCAAATCCTCACTTATGATGGGCTTGCATATGAGGCCCTCTGCTTAATGCTCTTTTGAAAACCCCTGAGCTAGATATTATCTAAGATTTTTCTAACTCAATTATGTAGGGGCTTTTATAAAGTATCTCATCTTCATTTCAACACAGTAACTCTTGTTCTTATTGTTTTTACCCTTACGTCTTAAAGAAGGAGCCGCAGCCAAGGCCCTGGTGCATTATTTTACCGCAGCCTTTTCTTAGATCCCAGTTCAATCTCTTTTGTGCAATGTCCTGGACTAAACACAAACCTGCCTTATTTTCCATTGATTTCCATTGACATAAGATAGCATGGAATGTTCCCTCGTAAGGTTGTTGACTAATACATGGAGAGCAGATAAAAAGATGTCTGGCACATAGTTTTATCTAAATGTTAGCTATTATAATTAGTCTGGTGCTGTTTTAATCTCTGCCTCTTGGGCTCCAGGGGTTTGGCTGGGTCTTATTCAAAAGGTGTTTCAGCCTGGTATGGTGGCTCACGCCTGTAATCCCAGCCCTTTGGGAGGCCGAGGTGGGCAGATTACGAGGTCAGGAGATCGAGACCATCCTGGCTAACACAGTGAAACCCTGTCTCTACTAAAAATACAAAAATTAGCCAGGCGTGGTGGCAGGCGCCTGTAGTCCCAGTTACTCGGGAGGCTGAGGCAGGAGAATGGCGTGAACCTGGGAAGCGGAGCTTGCAGTGAGCCAAGATCACACCACTGTACTCTAGCCTGGGCAACAGAGCCAGACTCTGTCTCAAAAATAAAAATAAAAATAAAAATAAATAAATAAGTTGTTTCTAGCTATCCCTGAAACTTCAGTTCCCCTCTCTCCCACTTTTTTCCCCTTTTATTTCCTTTCTTCCTTGGAACGTTTAGAGTTAAGTTAACTATATTCCTCATTTCATGGCACTTACCATAATTGGTCTGCTCAGGCCCCTCTTTGTAAAAGGCCCTTCTTATTAAAATCAATTAATTAATTTCCCCCTTTTATCTCATAGCTCACTTCTATTCGCCTCTCTGCATGATAGGGAAACATTTTAATGTGTTTAATATGTAGCACTGTAGTTGGATGTGTTTTCACAAAAAAATCATATTATTATCTTTGTGCAGTGTTTTATTCAGTATGGTGTTGGTTTCATGTATTGTATTTATCTTTATATACATATGTA